CAAACAATCTTCACTTTCGGGGCTTGCCAGCGAAAAGGTATAGCACACGAAGCTTCTTCTTGGCGGGGGTCGGCCACCTATAATAGCATATGGAGGTAGCCTGTAGGGTTTAAAATTGGAGGTTGAGGCAAACCGGCACACTGTGGAATGTTCGTGAAGGTTGGATCTCCCTACCACAACTTTGAGGCAGCACTGGCAGAGGCTGACGCAATCATGATCGCATCTGATGAAAGAGCATGGACAACTGCAACATGATGTTTCTGCCCTATTTTCTGGTCTCATTCTGCCCTATTTCTCTGGCAACCAGGAAATAGGTCGCTAAATAGGGCGCCCTGGCGTAACCCTTCCCCCCCGCCCCGATGTCCCTCTATTCAAGGGACCCCCCATCTTCAAGGCAGGTGTAGCTACGACCGCCGGGGCGGCGCCGTCGCAATAAGCTGGCCTTGCTGAAGTAGCAGTAGCAGGTCCCGTCGTCTGTTGTCAGGCTCCAGCACCCTCGCCCTGGGTGTCTTTAGCTGTGCTAGCTTTGCACTGTAGGACACTGGTAGGATGGATGCTTGGCAGAGCATAGCGAGCACACGTGCATGAAATGGCATTTATCCTTCTTCTTGCAGCCAGCCTTGTTATTGTATCGAAAGCAAATCGGTTTATCGTTGGGAGCGCGGGATAGCTTTGCCCTTGCCGCGGCCTTACCGCCGCCTTTGCCGCGTCCTCGGCCACGGCCTCTGCCAGCGTTACCCCAGTGGCCCCATGGCGGCGGCAGTGGTCTATTAGTGTATAGCACCAGAGGGGTTCTTTGTGACGCTAGCATCCTTCCAGGACCTCCTGGGTCACTAGCTTGCACGCATGCTTGCGGAATGCCTGCTCGTAGCTGAGGACAAGTGCCCATGGCGGCATCGTAGCTCCCGCCCACTCGGCGCTCGCAGTCCATAGCAGTAGTCCCCCAGCAGGTACTCCTTGTAGCGCTCAAATAGGGCCGCGTCTTTGTCCTGTATCTCCACTCGCTTGGTGTGTTTCATCTTCAGCATAACTACCGTGTTTCACACATAACCGTCAGTCGCAAGCGTAGCTGCTCAGGCCCTGAGGGCACAGCTACCGAGGAAGAGCCCTTCTTAGTGGAGATATGCCCCTTGCTATCCCAAACCGGGAGTAGCACATCGGGGTCTACCTCATCGCGACTGACAATCTCGCTCAGCTACCCTGCGCGAAACTTGCCGCCCACTAGCTCGCTTAGCCTCTTCTCCACGTACTCCTTGGAGGGGACGTGTTCATCCTCTGGCTCTTCCGTGGACTTTTAGCAAAGGCCTGTCGCGGAGCCAAATATTCCGATAGCAGAATGGGCTTGACCTTCGCGTATCTCGTTGTTGGCCTCGGCCTTTGCCTGGGCCTTCACTCTCGTCTTGGCTGCTTGCCAGGCCACATAGCTAGCAATCTGGGCCCTGTTTTAGCCAGAGAAGTTGCTGGGCCCAGACTGAACTCTTCTTTTAGCATTGTAGCCAAGTCCGCCTCTGCCTGGACGAAGGTGCCAAACTTAGGCAATGTAACTTTCCAGGCTTCAAACCGTTTGCCTTGGGAGGCACCCTTAATGCTGTGTGTAGTTAGCAGGAATTTTAGGTCCGATGGGCTATGTAGAAATTTCACTAGCCGAGGAACTGGATACCCCCTCAGGAGCCCCCTTAGTGCGCCCTCTCCGTTTCTCGCTCTTGCACTCGCTTGCAGAAAACATGACTGTAGCATAGCAATAAAGAATAAATAGCCACAAGTCGACCTGTACACCTTTTTTGCCTTAGCGGAAAAGCTTTTCTCTAACAGCGAGAACAATATCGAGCACCACGACCAGGCCTGGGGCCAGTCTGGCCTCGGTGTCGCTAGCGGACCTGGCGTTCCGGAAGTTTCGGACCTGGCAAACCTTCGTCGCCACCTCTAGCCTGTCTCCGCGTAGCAAGGCTAGCAGTGCAGTCTCCATCTTTTTGGCGCCAGCGTCTCCAAGCGACAGCTCATGGTTTGAACGCTAGCTTATCCCGCAAGCACCCAGACGCCCCCTGTATACTTATACGTTGTGTACTAAGGGAGAAAAAGTAGGTGACTAGCGGGATGAAGATAGCTAGCTTACTGGTGCTGGTTCGGGTCATGGTACATGTTCCCGTCCTGATCACGTAGCGTGTCAAAAGAGCGGATATCACAGAGGTCATGGAGGGGAGACGAACTCCCCAAAAGTAGGGGGCCTTCGGCCTCTTTCAGCTCGCTATTTAGCTCGCTTTTTGCAGTCGTCACATTTGTGTATCATGCATAGCTACCAGAAACCACATACGGCGGTTACAGCAAGCGTTGCCGCAGTCCTGGCGCATAACCACGCACCGGAAAACAGAGTTTGAAGCGTCCCACCTCCCCTACCGCCTATCCTAGGCATCCACCTAACATAGCCGATAAAGGGAATAGCTAGCCAGGCATCAGCATGAATGACCTCCCCATCCCGTAGCCAGTCTCATAGCAATAGCGCAGTCAACAGCTCTCTCGACGTGCATCTCAACGTTGCAGTGCAAATCTCGCGTAGGAGCTAGCGGTCGGGCAAGTATTCAGCGGTGCAGCCTGTGTAGGACATATCTAGTTGGCCGAACTCATCCTCGAAAGGAGTCCAGTTGGGCCCTCCTCGCGGCACCGTGCCCGTTCTAGCTGGCAATATCCTCAAATCGTGGTCTCGTGTAGGGAGGGAGGTTTTGCGGCCTCGTAGAGTTATCGCCATAGTCAGGTAGCTTGCGTGCACTCGCAGCAAGGTTACGGTTCGTAACTTGCAGAGCTAGCTTTCTACGCCTCCCTTCTTGCTCTGAGAACCTCTTGTCCTCTATCGTAGCTAACCTGTATCTCCTCCATCCTCTCCCGCATCTCGCGGTCATCTCTAGCGGGCCTGAAGGACTGGCCCATATCTCGCGTCTGCCGATCCGAGCGCTCCTCCATAGCGCCCTTTCGCTGGCGGTAGGCGCCGCCTCTCTCGGTGCGTCCGGAGGTGGCCGCACCTCTCTAGCAGGAGCTGCGCTTGATGAATCCGCTCCAGTAACCCCAGTAGCCCGGGGTGTGGCCTTCGGCGTAGCAGGCGGTGTCGCCTGTGTCTTAGCCATCGGAGGTGTCTTCGCAGGCGGGGATTGTATCGGGATCCCGGCCCCGGAGGACGTAGGAGGAGAGCTAGCTCAGGGCCCTATCAGGTTAGCTGGCGCTTTGTTTTGGCTGCGCGGCTGTCTCTGTCTCCTCTCCAGCGGATCCGGTTCATCCGGATCATATCTAGAAATGGGTCGCTTGCCCTCGTTCAGTGTAGCAAAGTGAACAATGCACCGCAAGCAGCGGACTCTAGCGTTCTATCACCTCGACCGGAGGTTCTCTAGCCGCTCGGATCGAGCTTCCGGTTCATGCAGAAGCGTATCTAGCCTTTCCCGTAATGGCGGCGACACCCTGTCCCCTAGCCATAGATAGGGGAACAAACGAGGACGAACGTTCACACTAGGTGAGGCAATCAAGGTTGATTTTAGCGCAGCCCCTCAAGCAGCGGGCGCCGGAACGTGTAGCTCGCTTGACCCTCTCGCTAGCATCTTAGCAGAGTAGCAATAGCCCCGCACCGCTACCAAGAGGTAGTGCAGACGTGACTTTTGAGTCGCCCTGTGTGGTTTCACAAAGGAGTTTAACTCTTGTAACTAGTCTAACTAGTTTGCACGTTTCACCCAAGGAGATGGCCTTCGGCCAGCGGTACCTCAGTCCGCTCGAGTAAGACGTGACTTGCAGGCTTCGCTTGCACTAGCCATCTATCAGAATAGCAATAAGCCTGGGCCGCTAGTAAGAGGACGCAAGCCGACCTCCCGCCTTATCCCGCAACCACCAAAGTACCCTGGGGTTCGGGACAGGGGAGAGAGGGGAAGACCCTAGCAACGTAGCCTGTCTCTCTGCCTCTCATGTCCTTTGTTGTTCTTTCTGGCGCCCTCTCCGAATAGCTACCCCATTGTCTTGAGTTGGAAAAACAATCTGGGCCCCCGGAAACGAAACTTTAGCCATCATGGACATGCATCCCCCCCTTCTCTAGCTGGAATACCAGACTCGAGTAGCCGTAATTTCCGTGTGACTAGCAAAGAAGAAGAGGAGGGATGGATACCCAAGAGCCTATCGCAATCTCCAGCACACATAGCCGCCATTCCCTTGTGACAAACAGAGAGGAAGAGAAGGGATGGATACCCGAAAAGAATAGCTCGCAAGTGTTTTAGCCAGCAGGCTCGCCAAATGAAGAGAAGGGATGGATAGCTGGAAAATGTATCAAGCAACAAGATATCAAGCAAGCAAGCCAGCGTGCCTCCCATGCATGCGGCTACCAACAACTTGCCACAAACCATCTCCAGCCAACATGTCAAGCTCGCCCAGTAAACATGCGTCAAACACGTCCAACTTGTCAATAAACATGTCGGGCACACTTTTGTAGCTAGCCTCAGGGAAGGCTGTATCTACTCATCCGCGTCTTCACTCGCAGCCGCTTCGGTAGCTAGCTGTTCAATCTGGACGGGTTCACCCTGCCATTCGCCTGCCATCTCCCAACTACTGGGGGCTGGCTAAGTAGCTGGAATCTCTAGCGCCTCTTCGTCACCTGACCCGGCAGGCGAGGCTTCGCTAGCTTCGCTTTCGCTCACTCCCCGGCCTTTGGGCCAGCATAACTTATAAACGTGAGTATAGCTACTCTTATCGGGCAGGTCCACGTAATCTTGAGAGTTTGTGAACACTCTACGCCTGCCCACCCAACACCCCGAGGTGCCCGCTCTGCGCAGCCTAAGTATAGTTCCAGGTAGCTTTACGACTACGTGCCGAGCTACCCTATCCGGCTATTGTCGCTGTCGACCCCGGCTCCGGCAAGGGCTGCGCTAGCTTGGGCACCACCAGATCGACAGCAGTCTGGGCCACGGTGGCGCCCCTCCCCAGCTCTCCGCCAAGCTTCGTCTAGCTCAGTGTAGCGAGAATCCAAGAGAGCTTGCTCATATCGGAACCCTCGCGCTTCGGGGGCCTGGACCCCGATTATCGACAAAGTTGTTGGTAGACGCTCCTTTCAGAGTCCAAAAGTCTTGGACCATGCCCAGTAGCTGTAGCCGAGATAGCAGGGCCCCGGAGGCCACCATAGCATCTCCGTAGCTTGCCATCTTCTTCTCGAAGCCCGCGAAATCACCTCGAACCCTGCGGAAGAAGATAATCCCGCTTTTAGCTCGCCAGGTCCCTTAGCAGCTCGAAGCCCGTCTCCAGCCTCGTAGAAGGCCATTTAACACAGACCCTTGATCCGAATGTTGGGCCTGGAGGTCTTGGTCTTCCGCAATATCGTTGATAGCCGGCCTTCAGTCAGCCGTAGCTCCGCGGGCTTAATAACTTGCAAGTCCGACCAGCGTGGGCAGGCCCAACTCTTCAGCAGCTTTATCCAAGCCACCACCCTGAAAGCGGAGGGCTCGCCATCATCCAACACATATCGCTGCATCTTAACCAGTAGAAGCGTGGGATAGCGAGCAGAGAGAGCTTCCACTATCTTATCCTTGGCCGCCCGTGCCAGCTGACCAGAGCTGGCACAGTCCTCTTCCTCGGCGACTGTCTCGAACCAGCGTATATAGCCTTCGTGATCGCGTCCGGTACAATCCGGCCGCATGGCTCGTCCTTTCTAGCCAGCAAGTAGTCGACCAAGTCCGCCGGCTTGCCAGGGGGCATCTGGACCTCGTCTCCTGGAGGTAGAGCCTCCATAGTCTGCAGATCGCCACGTAGCGCTTTACAGTGTTAGGCCGCGCGCTTCCGGCTAACAGCTCGCTAGCCCTCTCGGCGGCGAACTCCTGTCCGTCGTTGATCAGCTTCTTAGCTTTATCTCTAGGGTGCGGCCGAGACTCCTCCACACAGAGTGGGCCCCCCTCGTGAACAGGAGCTAGCTGTTGCCAAGTTATATCGTCAACAAGGAGGCCCTGAGTTCTCCATAGCAGCTTGGCTTCACTTCTAGCGTCCTGTGTCGCGATTGCCGGAGCCTCCACTATGGCTTCAGAGTCGGGGACTCGAATGACACTTGCTTAGCGATATCCTCGCAATCGCCAACATCCAAAGTTAATAAAATAGCGGACATGAAAGTACATGTTTGTTTGCGAATCATCTTCGATGCATTCGCTAGGAAGTGAATTCAGCTAATACACACGGCCGTCCCTCGTACCTCGTTACGAGTGTAGGTAAGGTAAGTGTGAAGCCACGCAGACGAAGACCCATGGGGGCTTCCACCGTTCATGGAACGTGGGGTCGTGCCGGTGGAGCCTGGATGCTGAGGCAGTGGAATGCGCAACTGGCGACAGTACAAGTTGACCACTTGTTGAATTTTTTGCTAGGTTCCCTGGCACCAGAGAACGCATGTTTGGGAAAAACACATACAGACTTATCATGTTGCATGTTTGGGAAAAACACACACAGACTTATCATGATGCTTAAGGCCTTGCAAGTGACGTGCAGCGTGGTGTGTTCCGCTTTTCACTTAGCATGTGACCCTGCGGACGGAGCTCGTGCCTTGGCTATGTGGGCGCCGCCAACTGTGAAGTGTCGCGCGTGCAACCTAAAGTCAATGGAGAACCCGAGAGAGGAGGCGGCCCCAAGTCAGGGTTGAAGAAGAAAACAAACGTCAGACACATTAAGAAAAAGACGCCTGCTCTTCGTGGTGTGAGGGTTCAGGGCCAATCCGCCTGTAAAGGTGAAGCTGCCTAAAGTCTGGCACGCACACCTTTAGGCAACGGTTGAAGCTGTTGCGGAATACATCCTCAAGGTGCGCAGTCCCATCCATCTTCAAATTGGACAATGTATTGCGTCTAAGTGAGGCTGCTGTGGATGATTGCATCTTCGGAATGTGCTGACATTTGCTGCAAATTTCCGCCCTTGCATCTGCGTAGCTACATCCAGCGGCGGAGTGCCGTAGGGCCGCTAATCAGACCTGGACCGTTGTATCTGAGAATGCAAGCCGGCAGTGCGCCAGCTTAAGAGGCAACTTGCGCAATGCGACGCGTCCCTGTAGCACCACCCTTCAGATTGGTTTTCTCTGTTGAGCTGACCGTTCGTGTGAAACCGTGCTGCAGGGGTGTTCGGAATGAATAGGAGTTCGCTCCTTGTACTATCGGTTGGGTGTTGAAAGGAGCTTGCTTTCGGCCATTCGTAGTGGGGCTCCGGCGTTTATCATGCGCTCCTGAAGCTCCAGTGCAAACTGCTCTGCCACAAGGCTGCATCTTTGTTTCTTTGTTCGTCTGTTATGGGCTTTGCAGGCTTCCTATATTCCTTCCGTCCAAAAAGGCGAGGCTCCCCAAGAAAACCTCACAGCCACAGTAGGGCCCCTGTGAAGCTTCCAAAGAAAAAATTCTTCTAAATGCATCAACCAAAAAAGGACCATGCTCCTTTCTCAACATAAGGATGGGAAAAGCCTCTTGCACAGACTGAAAAAAGGTAGGTCCCATCTACAACTCTTTAAAGCAAGAGCATGGAAACATTCATTAGGAATGTGGGCGAATTATTCTTGATATGCAACGTCTAGCGCAGAATGACGCCGACAGGTGAAGATGAGCTGAAAACAAAAGCCAGCTTGGCTGTTCTGCAAAGATGGTTCTCTTCACGGCTGGCAATGTCGCACGAGCATTCCGAACGTTATAAGAGCACATGAAGTCCTGTAATTTACGGCACGTCCAGGCCTCTTAAAGGTTTGGACCGCAATTTGCGAAGCCACAGACATACGATCAGTTATCATCCTGATAATTCAACCTACATGTAGTTCCCAGTATTCTTAAACCCTCAACTGCGCATAGTAGTAGTAGAAATCGTACAAGTAGTAGTAATGGCGGTAGTAGTAGTGGTGGTACTAGTACTGGTATGATACTAGTACTACTACTGCTACAGCGGAATAAGCAAGTCTGCCCCAAAAAATAGGGCTGCCTGGCATATAAACTGGCAGGGACGCTGCTGTAGAGTTCTGGACATGTTGGATGTCTGGCAGCTTTTGGGGACGAATTTCTAACTTCGTGCCAGGTTTGCACACCCTTTTCGTACAAGGTGGAACCCAATGGCAGGAGCAGTGCTTGCGTGCCCTGGACATATTGGAAGACAACTGCTTGGAAATTGTTTTCTGGGGACAAATTTGTAAGCTCACCCCCAATTGTCCACTCGTCTAGCCCGCGGTGGAAACCCATTTTGTTGAAATCTTACAGCGTGGACCTAGTGGAGCCCCACACACTAAAACCTACAAAGCCCTACGCCCTAAAAATCAAAACCCCTAAAAACCTAAGCCCCAACAAGCCTAAAGCCCAAACCTTAAAGACCCTTAAGCCGAAAAACCCTGAACACTAGAAACCCTGAAGCCCTAACCCGGACACCCCAATAATCATGATTCCTTGAAAGCCCAAGCCCTGAGAACCCTGTATCCTAAACACTTAGGCCGAAAGCAACAAACTCTACAAATCCTATACCCTAAAAACCCTCAACCCTCAAAACCCTAAACCTTAAACGCCCCAAACCCTGCATCCTAACAATCCTCATCCCTTACAACCCTAATCACTGAAAACTAACCCCCTAAGAACCTAGAACCTCAAAATCCTAAACTCTAAACGCCGTAAACCCGAAAGCCCTCAACGTCCTACCCTACAGCCTACAACCCTAAAAGCCCTAAAGCCGCAAAGGCCGCAAGCCCTGAACACCTCAAGCACAAAAAACTCTCTACTCTAAAACCCTTCAAGCTTGAACACCCCAAACAATTGCCCTCAACCCCAAACACCCTAAACTTCAAATGCCCTAAACCTCAACGCCCTAATTAGACCCCGAAAACCTTGTTTGAGCCAAAAGAATCCTCAACCTTCAAACTCTTCCCGAGCCCTAAACACGCCACGCACAGAAACCGCAAACCCTAAAAGCCCTAAAGCCTAAGCAGCCCTTAACCCTACGACGCCCGCAGCCCTAGAAGCACTAAACCCCAAAAAGCCACTGTTAAACACCCGAAAAACCCTAAACGCCCTGAACAGCAAGAACCCCATACCCTAAAAAAGGTAACCCCTTTTGCAACAGGCTTGCATGTACGCGCCCGGGTAACCCCTAAACCCTGAGCCCTAAACGCAAGCAATCCCAAGCACCAAAATGCTGAACCCTGACAACCCTCAAAACCCTAAACTTAACAACGCCTAAATCCTGCAAGCCCTAAGCACCAAAAACTCTGTACTCTAAAACCCTGAAGCCTCAAGACCCTAAAGCGTAAAAGCCCCAAACCCCTGAGCGCCCTAGACCCTGAAAGCCCTAAGCCACAAAAACCCTAAATCCTGAAAATCCTAAACCCTAAATGGCCTTAACCCCTTAAAATCCCTCAACCCCAACCACTCTAAATCTCAAAAACCACAAGCCCCAAACCCAAACAACCTTTGCCCTAGACGCCCCGAACCATAAAAACACTAAGCCGTAAAGACCCCAAACCCTAAACACCAAAATCCCTAAACCCTAAACCTCTTGAACGCCAAACGCTGCACACCCAAAACCCTAAAAATCCCTAAGCCCTAAACCTCTTAAACGGCAAACGCTGCACACCCAAAACCCTAAAAATTCTACACCCGAAGCAACCCTAAAACCTACAACGCCGTGAGCCGAAGACCCTAAACACCAAAAAACTACATTTATATACCCTAAAAACCCTCAAGCCTCATACCCTTTCCCCCTAAACCCTAAAGGCCCTCAACCCAAAATCTCCAAAACGCAAAAACACTAAACATCCAAAATCCCGAAACACACAGAAAAGCTTATACCAATACCCGGAACACCCTCAAGCCTAAAGCCTGAAAGCTCTCGACCTAAGACCCTACAACACAAAAACTCCCAAAGCCCTAAACCCTGAAAACCTTAAGCACCAAAACATCCTATATCCTGAAAACCTCAAACCCTGAAGGCACTACACAGCAGAGACATTCTCTAAAACCCTCAAGCCTCACAAGCCTCAAGACGAAAACCCTAAAGACCCCTGAGCAGCAAGCCCTGAAAACCCTAAACCACAAGAACCCTAAATCCTGAAAATCCTGAACCACAAGACACCCAACCTCCCAAAAATCCAAACATCCTGAAAGCAAAATTCCTCAACCCAAGGAACTCTAAACTCTGAAAGCCAAAGTCGAAAACCTGGAAAAACTCAAGAAAGCCAACGTCCTACATCCTAAAAGCCCTAAACCATTAAAAACCTCAAGGCTCAAACCCTAAAAACCCTAAATCCTAAAACACTCTTCTTGAAACGTTCCAGAGTATCTTTCTTGCCTACATCAACTCATCCAGCTTTCGGCCCAGGAGCTGCTGCTTGCGCCCACACGGCAAACAATCCGCAACTGCGCGGCATTAAATCTGGAGCCGGTCAGCTTCCGCGCTGCTATGAGCGGAGTTGGTTTGGGTCAGCTCCCATCCATGCCATTCATCCATCACGGCAGCTTTGGTTGGCTCTAAGCCTTCACACAGGAGTAGAGCATCACCATTTGCGATTTCAGCTTGGGGTTGAAACCACATTGGTGTCGGAGGGGCCTCCTAAGCACCACCGGCTCAGACTGCTGGTTGCTGGAAGCGGGAAAATGCCGGGAGAAAAACACGCAACAACGATGGAGTTCCATCATCCACAGGAATAGAATTGGAAATACAAGACGTAGGGAATGTCGTATCGCAGCAATAGTAAATATACAAACAGGTTGACAAACAGTAAGGTAGGACAAAAGCAGCAATAATGACAATGCAACAATTAGCACAAAGCAGAACAGTGGCAGTGCTACAACGGTAGGAACTTGTAGCCAATATGAAGACTTGAGTCGAACGAGAAAAGGGTGTCAAACAAGAACATGCCACGCGGAAAAACCGCGACCTGCAGGAAAGAAATGTTTCGCCGCCGGATGCAGAGCATGAGTCGAAGAACAGACAACCGTCCACTAAACAAAATGACAGCCAAGAATGTGGATATGGCAAGACATGTGCAGTGTGTTTTGGCTAGAGAAGGTGTGCGCGTAGTTTTGCTTAGAGACTCAAGCTGTAGAACCTCTGTTTCCATGTGCGATCTGCTTTGCAAGCGATTTCGTTCTGTCACTAAAACACGTTCCAAAAGGGCTCAGCTTCAAAACCTCAAAAAGGTGCCAGGCAAGCAGGCTGGGGTGTATGCTTTGGCATGCGGTTTTGAGGTTGATTGTAGTTCCTTCCGCTCTCTCTGAGATCGTTGGCGGCAGTCGTCTCGTGGGGGGAACTGTTGCAGCCTAGCAGCTCCATGTACAACTGCGAGACAATTTCGCTGTAAGTTGGACCATAGTGTACCAAATCAACCTTGGGCACAGCCATCGAAGCCAGAATACATCTGCACAACCCTGGCTTGTATCTGCGGCTGAAGTATGGGGCTTTCTAGTTGGTGAGTCCAGTTGAGGGTACTGCAGCATATGCCAGGCTGTGGACATTCACATGTTCCATCACGCCTTCATGAATCTCATCTTGCAGGTGCACCGCACCGTTTACAGGAACGTGGTTAACCCCCGGCGCTATTTCAAGGGGGGCAATCCAAGCACAAAGATGCTGGTTCGAATGCAAGAAGCGGTCAATTCCAACTCAGCTTCCGCCTGTCCATCAGGATGAAAGCTATGTAAGCTCACACTTCAGCTGAATCAAAAGTTGATTCGCACTGAAACTCAGCAGCACCCACTTTTGAACGCATCTATGACCTCAGGTTGAGACGGTAGGAATGGCAATAGCACGAGCCTGAATCTGCTTCAAGCTCGAGCCGTTTCCAGCATACAAGCGCCAAGGCAGGACACACAGCAAGAACAGCGACTCGCCCAAGCTGTATGCTCCTCAGGTGTCAATCCCACGACAATTGTAGCAAGGCCACCCTGTCCAGGAACCCAAAGCAGAAGGAACTTATGTGATCAAAACGCATGCGATTGCCAATGACAAGCTTCGAGACTTGGCCGCCAGTCTTCCTTGTTCTGCAGCGTGCCGAAGGTGATCTGCACAGGCCTGCGCCCAAAGCATGGCCTTACTCCATTGCATGTATTATTGGGCGGGCCGGCGCCCTCCCCGCCACCATGTATCCCGACAGTGCATGTACTGCTGCAACCTCCCTGCACATGGTGACAACGCGGTTTCAATTGGATGGCTTTCCGCTTTTCAAAATGGTTTGGGCTTTTGAAGACATTTCTTTGGTTTCGGGGCTGGGCAGCCGCAGCGAGTAGTCAGGACGCTTCAAGTGGCAGCGCTATCGGGCAGCTTGACTTCGAAGGACATTTCCCACGGGAGCGCTCGCGGGCGGCCGGATTTCAACGCAGCACCCCCATTTGCAAAAGCACGATCAACAATGAAAATATGTAGCTCATTGCTAAAGCTTCAACAACGCTCTCCCAAGCACGCTGCTTCGCTTATAAATGGAAAGCCGGGGGTTTTGGGGGGCGCAGCACCCCTAAAACATGGACAACAAATGAAAACATGTAGAGCTTTGCCCAGTTTAGCAACTTCTCCCAAGCAGTCCGCTTTGCTTTGAAATGAAAAAGTGGGGGGGGGGGGGTTGGGGGCATAGCCCTCCCCGCTTTTGCAACAACACGGACCAACAACAAATGCATGTGGCTCTTTGGTCAACCATAACAACAATTTTCCAGCAGCGGGTTTCGCTTAAACATTGGAAGCGGAGGGGGTTGGCAGGGTGCAGCACCCCCTATTTACAAAAGCACGGACCTAAAATGAAAACATGCGCCTTCTCTGCAAAAGCATGGACCCAACATGAAAACACGTAGCTCTGCTCACTTTAACAGCGTTCTCCCAAAAATCTGTCGCACTTTAGATGGAGCAGCGAGGGTTGGGGGGCGCACCCCCCTCCATTTTGCCAACATATGAACCCAAGATGAAAACATGAAGCTCTTTGCTGAGCCGGTATAACGATCTCCCAAGCAGTCCGTCTCGTTGTCAAATGGAAAGCAGGGGGGTTGGGGGGCGCAGGCCCCCGCAGTTGAAAACGCACGGACTCAACATGAAAACATGTACGGCTCTCTGATCCGGCCAGCAACGTTCTCCCAAGCAGTCTTTTCGCTTAAACCGAACAGCAAGGGGGTTTGGGGGGACCCCCCCATTGACAAAAGCATGGATGAAAACATGTAGCCGTTTGCTCGGTATAACGGTATCCGAAGCAGTCTGTTTGGCTTTAAGCTGAAAAACGGGGGCGGGGGGGTGGGGGAAGTAGAGATGAAGAGCATTCACAACCAGAAGGCGTTGTTTACAACCAGAGCATACTATTTACAAACCGGATCGGCGTTTTCCATTTCAGAACGTACAGTTTACAACTGCCTTTTTCTTGGGACACGCGCGAGCGACACTTAAGCGGAGGCGAGTACTTCTTAGGATTGAGGGTTCAGGAGGCTGTGTAGCTATGCCTTGGGATTGTTACGACTTTATTGGTAAGGGTGGCAGTACTATCTACAAAGGAACTTCATTATAGCTGTAGGGCACAGAAATCGCATTAATTGGCTTCAGGTTCAGGGCTTAGCAAGTCTTAAGCATGCAAGCCATTAAAGTCACTCCACTACCTCCCCTATCAGCTGAGCGCAATCACATGGAACGACGGTCTCTGGCTGTTTGACGCACCGCGCTTAAGGACTGACAGCTGCCGCGGGGCATGACAGAATTGCGAGCCTTGACGATGGTAGGCCTTAGACTTAGGATTTCAGATGTGGCATTTCAGTCAATGTTGTTTAACCGCAGGAATTCAGACTTTGATGGTTTCCATTTCTTGCTCTGGACAAGCCCACTTTATGCTCCCTCCCAAACCCCCGCTGCTCCATCTAAAGCGCAAGAGGCTGTTGGGAGAACAGTGTATAAGTGAGCACATAGCTACGTGTTTTCATGTTGGGTCCGTGCTTTGGCAAATGGGGATCTGCGCCCCACCCAACCCGCTTGCGATGCTACTTACAATCAGAATGTACATTCCGCAGCCGGAGCGGACAATTTGCCACGCGCCCTTCATGGCGGTTATTGGGAATTGCATGGGGGCTACTCGAGAGTTCCATTCCGTCGCTCCCCCGTGACCACGAATAGTCACTAGTAAGATTGAAAGGCACGGGACTTATAAACAAAGACATGGACACTTCCACGCCATTGGTTAGGTGTTGGAAGGCCTGTAGAAAAATCTGAAGCTTGGAAGCTGATGGCAGCAGGAATTGATTAAATTGGAGCTGGGGGAGGAGTCCAGGACCCGGATATGATCAAATTAAACATGGCTTTGAGGGGTTCCGGGATCAGGGAACTCATCAACGGAGCAAGTTCTAGGACACAATGGGACGTAATTACTCGTTTCCCGCTAAACCCCAATCACTCCCACCTGATTCAAAATACAGGTATTCCCCAGAGAATTCCCAAATATGAAATCTGCCCCCAAGACTTGCGGATTCTCTGAATCAGGGGTATCCCTAGCATGACTCTCAAGGAGTAGGGGTGTCCTTGATTTCCAAGATTCGGATTGTTGTTGAATGGTTTTATACAGGAAATTTTCACAATATCTGACAGCGACCTTTATTGGATTCATCGCGATCTTAAATCGTTTTGATTTTCATTCTAACTAGATCTTAATTAGGATTCAATTGATTTTAACCAGATTCTAATTAGCCTTTCATTCGATTTTCAAAAGATACACAGCTTTATTCAAGTTGTAATTTTAAGTTTCACTTGCATTCAAATCGATTTTAATGACTTTTATTACGAGGTTAGTTGGGCTTGGCGGGTTTTATTCGACTTAATCGATATCTGTTCGATTTTACTTAGGTTTCACTAGGATCCTGTTATATACACCCCCAATGTCGGGGAGTACGATGAATACCCCGCATTTTCAAAAAGGTCGGAGTAGCTACATCGGCGGGGGAGACGCTCAACGTCACGGCGGAGGACTTTACAGTAAAACAACTACCCTCATGAGTTCTGAGGCTTCGTATGCAAGCTTTTTACCATAACATCTTGCTGACCTAGCCACTGACTAGCAACAAATCGACAATCCCACTTACCGACCCGACGCCACTATGGAAAACACGAAAACATGCACAAAGTTATTTTTATTAAAAACATCACCACATATCCAAAATCCAAGTTAGGCATTGCAGTTTCATCTTAAGACGGATCAGCATACTATCTTGAGACTGAACCTCATACTGTGGACAAGGAAATCTTGCATGACGCTATAATTATACGTCATGCTCCCTAGGAATTTCTTTATTTTTTGGGAATCCCAAGTGGTGCAAGATTTCGTCCATCCACTGTAGGTGCAATGTGCCTCGTAAATCGGAATGTACCCGCAGCCCTCCGCTGTGGCCACCCGCCGCACGGCTGAGGCCATGGAGGCTCCGAGGATTGCCTCTTCGGAGCCCAAGTCCTCACGGAGGCTGAACTTCCCGCGGTGCGCGCCGTACCCCAAGGGCAGCATGCAACATACCAAGTCCAGGCACTTTTCAGCCCTGTACAGTCAACACAACCCAAACGACAACACCAACCACCAACCACCAACCAACATCCAACAACGACTCACTAACCCCAACAACAGCAGCAACAGCAGCAAGCAGCAAGCGCAGCAGCAGCAGCAGCACCACCACCACCCCCACCACCAGCACCACCCCACATCACATCCACACCCTCACCCCTGCCACCATCATCACTACCACCACACCACGACCACCATGACCACGCCGCCACCGCCGCCACCCCCGCCAACCACCACCACCACCACCGCCGCCGCCACCGCCGCAACCACAACCACAACGGCAACAACAACAGCCAAAGCAGCATTCATTCATTGGTTCGATGGCGCATCAAGAACCGCTGTTACTTTTTAGCCTCACCTGGGGGCCTGGGGGTCACCACGATTCTTCAGGTCCTCTCCCAGTGGTGGGGGCGAGGCCAGCAGCACCGAGAACGAACCCCCGCAGACCCGACGTACCGCCTTGCCAGGGTCTGTTTTGAGATGCGAGGGCCTTTTGCATTCAGACAGATCCTGTTTTGAAAGGACATCAAGGAGGCAGGAACCGAAACAGAAGCCTGCGGCACATCCCAGTTTTATGGCGGGGCCTCGCGCAGCTGGCCCTCGTAGGCAGCTACCCACTCGTCCTGTGGCTGGATCAAAGCACTGCAAGGTTGCTGCTTACGAAGACTCTCCTCGGAAGCCCTGAAAAGAGCCGGGACCGCTGCATACCGTATCAGATCCTTATGTGAAAAGCAGCGGCTCGAGAGAGAGAGAGAGAGAGTGAGGGCGACAGAGGCATCGGTCACAGCGCAAATCAAGATGCATCTTTCAAAGTGTCGGCCGAGCTGCATTGGATCCCAGCTGCAGCACCAGGCCGTGCGAAGGTTGCCTCGGCTCTTCGTCTCCACGGCTCCGCGTTGCCTTCTTGAGCGATGGCGTTGCCAAGCAGGCTCCATCTCAAAAGCTTTAAAGTGTTGCAGTCCTAGAATACTGACCGAGGATGCCGAGGCCACCAAGCCACAAGGCTACCGCTTTTTCCAGAAGATCAGAGTCCAGAGCATCGCTGAGAGCCCGAAAGTTCAGGCCTTCAAGCGCAACATGCCTGTTGGAAGAATACCGTTATCCTCAGATTCCACAGCAAACCCCTGCCACCTGCGTTCACGAACTCCCCCAGCTCCGGGATGCCTCGCTTAGGAACCCTGTCCCTGCCCATTCCATACACTCGCGCAAAAGCAGCGGGCCTTGACAACGAGCCTTCAACACCTGTGACAGCCACCAGTTTCATCCAGTTTCCCCAAGAATCTTTCACTCGGGCGTGTAAGGATGGGATGAAGCCTGAAAGCCTGGCCTGCAGGACATTGGCCGAGACAGTGCCCTGCCTGAGCTGCAAGAGGTGGGTGCGGCTGCTGGAATAGATCAAACGAAGGTCGGCTAGATCGGCTTAGCCAAGTCCTACGTTTTCAGAACATTCCTGCTTCAAGGTGCAAGCAGGCCACGTCAAGCTGTCACCAACCTGGGCAACACAAACGGCGTCCGATACCCGAGAGTTCTAATCGTGGCATGCTTCAGCAAGTCATGCCAATCTTGCCGCTTCAGCGGGCATCTCATGCCGGAATCTAAGCATCTTAAGGAAACCTCAGGCAAGCCACGAAAACCGTGCAGGTCTTCTTCACATTGTCGATGCCCACAGGGCGAGGCTGTAAACGCCTGAGCATGGAGATGCACGAGGACAAGGGTTGTCGGCCGCTTTGATCTCCAGCAAGTTAAACCTTCTGATGACATGCGATGACTTCAAAAGAACTGGAGCGGGCAGCTCCGATTTGTCTTAAGGCGCTGGCGCGCAAGCAGCAACCTCGGCAAATATCTCTGCAAACAAGGAGCCGATGCGCTCAAGACTGCATCATTTCGTTCATTGACATGTACGCGTTTCAATCTTGCTTCAGGGGCTAGGGAACCCTCAAGACAGTTTTGGGTAAGCTGATGCTAAACCGCCTCTGGCGTTTTCATACCTCCGCTGCCTCCATCTACCACCGCCAGCCCTCGGGATTGTCCACCCACGCAGCACAACAGGCTCGGGTCCCAGCTGCTGCTCCGGGTGCAACTAGCAGCGAAGTTGGCAAAGCAATCTCGGGCAGGGAAAGGTTCTGCTTCGATAGGACTGGTGTGGGAAGTGCCTCCAGCATCTGGCCTTGAGTAAACTGCTTGGATCTTCCAGTGGTTTGACACCAGGATCCACTGCACAGTCCAGAGCAGTCCTTGCAGCGAGACAGGACTTCAGCTTAACTTGTGTTGCTAAAGGGCCAGCAAAGCCGATATAAGCTCGTGACCAAATGGCAACAACTGATACCAAAACGACAGCCAGCTCCTCCAAGCTACATAACCACAACTGCTTTTGACTTCAGATAGATTCCTGGTCAGGCTTCCCACGTTGCAAAGCCGATCCTTCTGCCATTCTGCTCGGCGCTCTGGTGCAGCAGCAGGCTCAGCCCACGTGGAAAAAGTGTCGGCCTGCAAAGACGGCTCTTCAGCCGGTACCATCGAATAACTTCGACGCAAAGTGAGGTTACGGCGGACTGCCTGAAGAGGCCCTGTGCGGCAGTTGTGGGATCTCAAATGCGCTTGACCAGCACCGGTGAAAGTTGAGGGCCTGGCACGCTTGCAAGTAATGTATCGGCACAAACTGTCTTGTCAGAAGATGCAGGGGCTCTTTGTCGACAGCATCCTTTCTCCCGTTGGTTGAAGCCATCCATGGCAGTTGTCAGATGATAGCTGCTAACCTGGAGTTGCAGCATGATATGCTGGAACCGCTGAAGAAAAAACATGCATCTGCACTGCAAGGTATGATCTGAAGACGGCAATGTCTTGTACAGGGACCCCTTACAAATGAGCCACCAAGACATGGGTTAAAGGGCTTACCTTCCTGTCCGTGACCCAACACAAAAAGAACGCTGCCCACCGCCTTGAGAGGCCGCAGGCCAGGTGGAGCCCAAGCCTTAGGAGGCTGCCACTCTGGCAGGTTGCGGAAGGCTGTGACTGTTTTATGCCTTCGGGACGAAAGCTTCTGCAACAGAAAAATGTGGACAAACAACTGCCGATGCAGCAAAAGCTTGAATCTGCACATTTCCGCTTTCCTGTGAAGCAACACAAAAATTATTTGTAAGGGATTCCTGTTTGCAGCCCTTAGAGGTGCTAAGCACACTTTTTCCTGACGCCCAAGGCCAAGTCCTTCACAGCAAAGGCTGCAGAAACTGTAGCCTGAAGAGTGGAGGTCTGTACGCTCTCCAAGGAGGCGCCGACACCAGCCAGGTTCAGGACCCAGGTAGGTATAGTTCCCACGCCCAGGAGCTGACAGAAAGTGTTACAGAAGTGGCAACAGTTGCGCCGCAAGAGTTGGTAGCTGTTCATCGGCCAGTCGTCCATGATGCTTGCTACAATCTCAAGAACTTGAAGATGAGACAAGGTCGTGTGTCCCATCGCAATGCTTTCACGGTATGAGTGCTGCTTGGACCCTTGAGGTCTGCAACTCCAAATTCCTGTTTCAAAGCCCTCTTCGATCGGGTCATCCAAGCTCAAACCACCAAAGCTCCACTCCTCACCATACACCTGTACGGCAGCATGGTAGGCCCCAGAACCTATGGACTTGAGAATAACATTCAAGCCCTGAATCATCTTGCTGTCTCCCAGGTCGTAGATGTTCAGCAATACCGGCTCCCAGTACTCCTGCAGATATCCACCAGATGATGAGACCTGCGTGGCCTGGCCCCGCTTGGTGGCCTGACTCTCCTCTGTGTATGCAGTGATCAGGCCCTCTGCACTGCGGAAGGCGTGGCTGCCCCTGCCATGTATGGACAAACGTGCTGCGGAACCTTGAGGCGGAGCCTCGAATTCAATATAAGGGAAATCCACGCGGCGCCTTCGAAGCAGATATGGCTGTCTCGGCACACTAGGTGAGGTCTCCTCCTCTTGGTCTTCTACAAGGATTGGATCACATGAACGTACTGCAAGGCCAGAATTTGCGGTAAGGAGCCCTGGCACACGCCTGTCCGCATAGGACGTCGCTCGCTGCACTAGGCCTCCCTGTACCTCTGTCTCCGCAACAGGGATTTTGTCAGTGGCACACTGACTGGCCTCCTGTGCTGCGACTGGCAAGCGTCGTGCGAGGTACTTGGACTTTGGAAGCTCTGCAACATCCTGCCCTGCAGCAATGGCCTGCATGAGCTGATGCCACCTGCTACGCCGCAAACTGCACCTGCAGCACTACCAACAACCTGCTTTGGTTGACCTTGAACCTGTGCTGGAACAGGCCAGTAAGTGATGCAGAAGACGAGTGATAGCAAAGGTTTGGCTACAGGTGACAAGACACTGTTAGAAAGTGGTACACATGCGGGGCACTGGATGCCTGCGGCCATGTCACACGGCAAAGAAGCCGCAGGAAAGCCATCGCCGTCTTTCCATTAGAGCCGCGCAGGAGCAGCATAAGGGTGAAAAGAGCAGCAAGGAAGCTCTAAAATGAAATAACAAACCGTACCCCACACACCCTGGTAAACAGCCCCTAACTTCCACGCTGCCTGAAAAGCTAGGCTACTGCACAGAATCATGTAGCCGCTCGCATTGCGGAACCCCTGCATTGGAGCCTCAGTGAATGGTGCGACTTGAGCCCCATGCCGAGCTTTGCACTCAGCCTTCAAGAATATTGACGGCAGGTATCACCCAATAATAAAGCACATGCACGCCTGTACAAACTTGATGCTGGCTTTTGCTTGCGCCTCGCTTCTGTCCGTGGGGCGGGCAGTCTGCCAGTCTGGTGCCAAAAAAAATTATGAACTAAATATTCCTCTCTGCTGCAGCACGCATGCAATAGTCACCCGGCTAGTTCAAAGATCGCTGAACAAGGCTTTTCGATCTGCTACGTAGAAGTAGAAGGTTTGGACATGCAGTGCTTTTCCGAGAAGGTACTTCAGGGCACTTGAGGTTTGACAGCTTCTTTGACTCCATGGTCCGAAACACCGTACAAATATGGCTGGCCATCTTCGCCACTGCGATGTCATCCAAATTGAAGACTTGGGCCGGAATCGGAAGCTGGAAACCTATGGACTCATGCAAGGATCACCACAGGAGCGGACACGCTCGGATAAGCTTTGAAGCTTTGTTTCACGGCACACTCTCTAATGCGATGTGCGACGTGCCAGATATGCAGGCTGACATGATGTAGCACTTCAAGAACAAGTCCCAGTTGTCATGCCGCGGAATTGACGCCTGACTCTAAAAACTTGCGCGTCCAACATAATTGCTGGAAAACGCCTATGGATGGGTGACTCGGGAGGACTTTGCCAGCAATAATTTGTAAAATGTCCTGATGGGGAGTAATGCAGCAAAATCCTTTCGTCACTGCCATCTGGCGAGGCGAAGTTAACCAAAGCCAGCTAGCACAGGCTAGATTCTCACATTCCAAGCATCCTATCTGCAGTGCCTTTCCTCCTTGTTACAGCATCATAAAGCCTTGCATAACGGATACAGTCATGCAGCAGCAGGCAAGCAGATGCATTTCTGGCTCATGTCCCATCCTGTTGACAAGGGCTGCTTGCACGGTTTCATGTGCTGTGATCATTTCAACAAATTTGAGGAACATGCACACAAGCGTCAGGCTGCCCTTTCTTCGGCTTGCTGAACTGTACCTCTGCTCTATGAGGGCCCCCCATTCACTCGTGAATGTTCCGATTCGTGTTAAACGGCTGACTGCCAGCATGCAGCTCAACCAGCTTGAGATAGCCTGAAATGTCTTGAGGAACGCCAGCCCTGCAAGTGCAGAGTGCCTCCATTGCCGTCATCCAAGACACAAGCCCTGCATGATACCCTAGAGTCCTCATCATAAATTATGACCACGTCTTCCGAAGCTTTTGCTGGTGTCTTGCTTGGCTCCGTTCGACCAAGCCATCGCCTCGGCCCCAACATGAAATACATGGCATGCTTCTGATGCTCCCGCACAGGGAGCATCCAGACAGCATGACATGATCCCACGGAATGGGAACCACGACGACGTCCGGTCTTGCAGCACCAAACAGGTGAAACAGGCCTTCAGTGATCTCCCGCATTTCTGCAGGTGTACATAGCCCTAGGCTTCGGGGAAGTGCATCAGACTCTGCATGTTCAGACCTAGCTTTTAACCTAATGGGATGTAGTCATCTACATCCCTGCTACCATCATAACTTTAGTTTCCTTCTGTGGTTAGTAAATCAGCGTGCAGCGAGCGTTCGGGAATTGCGGCTGTTGGCTAGAGCCACTGCCAGGCCAGCTGCAACGAGTGCTGCTGTAGTGAGGACTTGGACCTCTGTCAATCAGTCAGGCCAACAAAACGAAGCTGGGAATGATGTTTTCGAGGGCTCCTACATATGTTACAGCGAGTAAGGCAGCTATCCTCCTAATGTCATTGCCACTGCTTAGCTGTCGAGCTGCTCGCTTCCAGGGGCGCAATGTCTTGGGAGCGCCATCAGGGCGCGGCATCCTGCAGAAGCGCGACGACACAAGGGGGGGCAGAACAACCGTTTGAGCCTCCTGAGAGGTGCGGGCTTGCCAGCCAGGTCTTCAAGGTCTGCGCCTGCAAGTCTACCAGTTCCCGAGATGAGAGGGGCAGGTCGGGCAAACGCACCGTCCCCACCCCCATGCTGAACGCTTACCTAGCTAGGACACCAAAAACTTGCAACAGAGAAAGACGAAAACAACTAACATGCTCAGCCCAAATCTGCGAAATCCCAGCCATGTTGTCAGCCTTCACCCCTAGAACATGAAGTAACGATACACAGCTCAAAGTTGGCGTATCCTAGGCCATAAGTGCTCGATTGAGGTTTTCTGCGACTCTTGTGCAGGAGAGGCTGCGCGAAACAGCTCGGCTGTTCAACATGTTCATCTGTTCTCAAAACTCCAACAGCGTTGCCTCCATCTTGGCATGCGACTCGTGCCCGCGTCCATTCGTAAACCCCCCCACGAGTGTGGAACATCTTGGAATTGAATCCTTGTGCCAAGCTTTGCAGCATGCATGGAAGTCTTGAGTTGCTCAATTCGTTCAGATCTCACGATCGCTTAAGCATTCCTGCATCGCGTAGCGCCGAGATGACAGGCACGTCGTTCAAAGAGGCTGTCGGCTTCTTCGCGCCACCAGTGCCTGCAAAAACTTCGTGCCGTGCATGCCGATCTACGGTTTGGGAGATTTTGGATTCAGGCCAGTCAACCATACTTTGCTGAGGCAAAGTGCAGTTCAGGAATCGCATGTACTCGTCCAGGATCAGGTAGGAGTCCTGCTTAAGCATCCCAAAAAAAGACGTGCCTGGCCCCTTGCTGGATTGCAGAAGGGCTCCTTCATCTTCTCATTGTCCTCAGGGACTAGGATTTTAATCTCGGCATGTCGGTCCAGGAAGCCGCTGAATTCCTCTGAAGACACGGTCAGCTTCCTTAGCTGGCATGGCGTAACAAGACTTATAGCACACACTTGGATCGTGCTCTGCAACAGCAATGCGGTGCAGTGGGCACGTGCTAGCAAACTTATAAATTCATACAGCCTGAAGCTGTTTTGCTAGGCCCTGGCTTCGTGCCAGGTTTCTTGGCATTTCGCAAAGCCTCTTCACCCGCGTTCTCACCTGCAGGCAGAATTTCAACCGAGGGATCTTCAGTAGCAGGGCAGGGATCAACTTGCCTTCCAATAGCAAGCACTGGAAGACCTTCCAGCGAACCGGATTGAGGCGACTGATCATGTGCCCCATGTCCTGCTTTCCACTCCAATACGGGAGCTTCTCAAAGAGCACGCCTACTTTTAGGGTCCTGGTCCCCATGCTGCGCATCATGCTACATTGCATGCTGCTTAATGTCCTCCTGGACGTTGAGCGCGTTTACGACAGTGTTCACCTGCCCGCAGTGTTGAAACTTCTAGAGCTCTTATCTGACCTGGCTGTTCAGTGTTCTCAAGTCACATTGACCACCAGATTAGAACCTGATCTGAACCGTTTCCCCTAGAAAGTTAGCAGCCCCCGTGCAGCATGTTTTTGAAAGAAGGCGAGCTGGCACCTTAAACTTGATGTCCGCTGCTGCGCACCAGTCGCGAATCAACTCCAACCTGATGTTCGGCACTATGCTTGGTCGTTACCACATGACAACTTCTAGCTGAAAGGATGTAACTAGGGAAGGCAGGCCTCAAATCTCAAGAGGCCTTGAGGTTGGGACTCAGAAATGGCAGATTTTGAAATCTCAATGCTAGACTTCCAAACTGTAGATTGCTTGCCACCTTCCAAGATCTTTCGAGCTGAAGTTCTGAGTGTTGGGCTATCCTTTCCGAGGCTCTCAGGCCGAGCAGCTGCTGAATATGGTTTCCGCCGCCTCGGCCGATTTTGATGTTCGTGTCCTCCTTGAATGAGTCGCAAGAGATGGCCAGGATGTCCACAAACTCGCCTAAGAGCCCCCGACTCACTTCGCACCCCGAAGACACACAATCCCAATGATGGCACCTGATTACTCCCTTCAGCCAATATCCGAGGTGCCGTTCTTGTGAATCCACTCTTCGGTGATTTTGCTTCCATTGGACACGATGCTCACAGATTCCAGCTTCAGGTCCTGAGTCTCGACTGATCTTAACCCTGTGGGGTCCTGCGTGGCTACATGACAAGCTGTCGGGCCTGCTTGCAAAAGCGGCAGAGCTCTGCAAGCTCCTGGCAACAGGGTGTGAAATTGTTCAAATCAATATCTGCGGCCCTGAGCTGCAGGTCTGTGATCTCGGCCTTCTGGTGAAGGAACGGCTCGCCGCCGCTGAAGTTCAGCCTCAAAACCGCCCATGCTCGTTCTACAATTTTGCTCCCAGACTGAGGCTCTGATAGGCTCGGTCCTGGACTTCTGCATTCCCGCCCACCGAAGCCGACGCAGGCGACGCTTAGCCTTGTCATGAAGCAAAGTTATTCCAAGCGCGTTAAAGCGGCTCACTCGCACCTCCTCCATGCCGCCCTTGGTCTGCGGCAAGAAGTATGAGGTCTTCGCCGTGTGAAAGCAGAACTGGCACTTGTAGTTGCACTGCCTGACACATAGGCAACAAAGGCCATCCATGCTTGCAAGTGACGTCCTGATGATTCAATGCTGAATCTTCTTCAAGTGTCAGGCTTTGCCTTGTGTAGTGCCAGTTCACGGAAAGCGGCACCGGCGAAGCGCGGAATGCCTCCACCCCTCTGCGAACCATTGTCAGGGCCCTGTCCAAAACCTCGCCTGACAGCGGACATGGTCCAACATTTGATTTGCCTGCTCATGCATCCGACGGACGACTACAAAAGGAAATATCTTCCTAGTCTTGACTTGGCAAACATACATCTGAGTGCATTGCTTGCCATAGCATGCCCCTAGAGCTAAAGGAACCGCACAATACTGTATACAATCTCAATGTCAGCGTCTTGTTGTGAATATCTTCAATGCCCACCTGGACTGCCAGACGCATCCAGAAACTTCATGGCCTGCCAAGGCTTCTCCATGGGGCCATGACTTGCAACATACCTCTTGCGCAAGAACCTTTCATCACCAATGCTAACATCAGCCCCACCAAAGCTTTGTGAACCCAAGCCGGGCCTGTCCCTGTGGAAGCTGCAACGTGGCGTAGGCGTTCACAAGGCGCTTTCGAACAGCGGCATCCTGCTCCAGTGATACCTCAGAAGATTCAGGTATGCCACATAACCAGTCAGAACCATAGCCTCTGGCTGCCTCTCTTGCATGCAGGTGTTGATGATCAGGTGCAATGACAAACTTGCATGGAACGCATCTGAGTGTGTGAGGTGATTGAAAAGGCCTCCTCTGCGGTGATCGATGATCGGGCGCGTACCCGACTGGCTCGATCCTCCGTCAACCCAAACATGCCGCGTCAAGAAGCTTGCAACTAGTGAGCAACTCATACGAAGCTTTGAAACTCGGATAACAACAGTGCGAACTCTCTGTCGCCTCCTCTGGGAGGTCAAGGACCAAAAAGATGATGGGCCTCGACCCGAATGGAAGCAGGTCCACCAGGTCGTTGGGCATCCGCCCAACTTCTGGAATGTCGCTTGTTGACGACTTGAGGTCAAAGGCCAGCGCATAGGCAGCTGAGGACGGCCAGAAGCGATCCACAATCACTGGCGTCACTGGCTCCATGCGGCCAAGCCCAGCCGCGCAAACGTAATTGCCGAGGAGGTAGTAGGAGCGGCGGAGCTCAGCATCAGCCGTGTCGAAATAGGTTCGCAAATGTCTCAACTCGTCCGGCGGCGTCTTCACAAGCACGGCCTCCATGGACTGCTGCAAATTCGTCGCCAAAGTGGTTTTTCCAACTCCATCTGTGCCCTCCAAGATCACGATTGGAGCTGCTTCAGCGACTTGCGTCGCAATGCGCTCAGTCCGGTCTGCTTGTGCTTTCTGCCAGATGGCAATAGCCTCTTGGCCGAACGGATCGCGCTGCAAGACACGGCATGCTGCCTCCACAGATTCAAACACGGCGGGGTCCATCTCCTGCAAATGTTCACATGAAAGCTATCCACATTAAAACCGAGGTGTATGCAATATCCTGCATGAGCGTGCCTTTGGCTCGTCACGTCAAAGCTGCAAGGCGGGATTGTTTGAGATCACAAAATGCTGCGAAAGCTTGAGGTCATTGAGCTGCCGATGTCAGAACAGGAACGAGCACTGAGCATTATTATCAAGAACATTAAATTCAAAACCCAGAAGGTTGCATATGCACCTGCGGAAAACCACGACCCGCTGCGAAGCTAAAACTTCAGTTAAGCTGATGCGTTTTTCATGTTGCAGCCAGGTGAAGGCGAAGGCAGGATATGGCCAAAATGGACTTGAAGTTTCGGCTCCGTAGAGCATTTGATGCTGTGGCACTTGTCCCTCACACAGAAACAAACGGAATAAGCGACCCCTCAATGATACATTGACTTGAGTGGATCTGCTAAGCCGCTAAGCAATGAGTGCATGCTTTCAGCAAATGTGCAATGCCCGCTGCAATAGAACGTCAGCTGCCCCTGGTAAGCGCAAAGCCGAGGTGGCCTGTCGGATGCGGTAATTCTAATAAATCCAGACCTCCCCCTACTTTGGTGACAAGTCCTAGAGCCAAGGTAGCCCTGTGGGGTGAATCCAAATGCACTTGTTGGAAACAGCAGTGCCTTGAAGCCAGCACAGGAACATTTCCATCTTCTATTCAGTTTTTGACTTCCCAGCGTCTTAATTCGGCTCCCCAAACAAGAGTCATCTCAGGTACTTGACAACTTGGTCAAGGACCAAACTTAGCACGAAATTGTTTCATGCTGCACGAGCTGCATATGCTTGAATCCCTGGCCTTTGCGCAAGATTCTTTGCATTAGAGCTGCAGCTTTGTTGCCGCGGTAGACTCCATAGTCTCAACTGGCGGATGTTGCGGGCTTAGCTTAGCAGACTGCGGGCTTGCTTGTCCCGTTTCAGTCTCCGTGTCCAATTCTGCTGGTGGCCTCAGCTGCGCAAGCATCTTCCGACTCGATACTTGCGAATAAAATCTTGAGTGATTTTCTATCATGCGGGCTGTCTCTGCCAAGCCACGGCTGCGTGGGCTTGTCGTAAATCCAGGCAACCAGGCTACAGGCAAGTACCAGCGAAGCAAGTCCTGAGGCGCTGAAAGACATACATATTGTAGAAGAACATCCTGGCCTGAATGAGTCAACCTAAGACCAGCTCTGAAAGCCTGCAAGCTTGCGATTCGACTAGTATTGGTCCTAGCTGTACCAGCAATGGCAGCAGGAAGTTTCCATCCATGTTCCGCAGCACAACGTCCAAAAGAGGGTTCTGCAGGAAGGACACGAGACCAGCAAGAATATTTGCCTGGGTCAAGAACGAAGAGGGCGGGGTGGGTTTGTCAATTGGATCTTTTCTGGTGCAGCTGGGAAGCCATGCCAGCAAGTGTGGCAAAGAGTTCAGCAGGATATTCCTTGGATTTCTGTGGCATTGCGATTCTGCTCAGTCTGAGGCCTGAACATCGCTCGAACACATCCACCTGCGCCATGCTTCGGATATCATGAACGTAAAAAACGTCGAAAAGAAGAGCTGACGGTGGCAGGCGGACACCACATACAAGACGGGCAGCAACCACCTTAGTGCATTTGTTTGATCGACTTTGTACATGTCCTGTCCAATACATGAGCTTATGGCTGTTTGGCCATAGTACGGACGGCTAACTTAACTTCCTTGCCACAGCCTTTAGCACAAGCTGCGGCTCGCTGAAGGGCCGAATCATCAGGAACAGTACAGCAAGGCCGGCGGTAGCACAGAAAGGGGCACGCCGGTGTCCAAATCTTGCCACTAGCCAGCCAAAGGCTGGGATGGAAACAAATCCAGCGGCTGCTTGCAAGAAGTTGAACACAGAAAGTTCATGATCCACATCCAGTCCCCGCCTGCCATCGCTGAGGAGCAGCTCGTGCTTCCAACGGAGTTCGGCTGCCATCCATCCCATTAAACATCGGTTGAGACCGAGCTGAGTAAAGTGGAATGTCAGGAAACCGACAAACTTCCAGGACCAGGCCTGGTTTGCACGTTTGCACTTCACTAAATCTCCGAAGCACCAAGGCTAGGACCCCTCTCCTCATCCACCCAGACAGGTTGTTTAATGTAAGCATCGATAAAAAGCACAAACTCCATATCCAAGGCCGCGTTTCAATGCTCAATGCCAAAACGCACCGCTCCCGAACAGTAAGACCTTTAGGCCCGCTTCCTGCTCGCCTGGAGTTCAAGCTGGAAGGATGTTCGATCCATTGGCTGTTCGTCTGGAAGGTGGCACTGGATCATGATAGAACAGAACAAAACGTATCCCTCACTTACACACATTGCCCAGAAGGGTATGGAAACAAGCTGCTCCAATCCGGTGGTTGTTTTGATGCGGCATCGCGAGAAAGTCAGCTGGCTTCCTGCCGAAAAACCAACAGCAAACAGCCTACGCCTAAAGTAACGTCAAAAGCAACGTGCCAGGACTGCACCAGAGGAGGGTGCGCTGCTTGCGTGCATTAAATAGGACGGATTGAAAGAGGACCATGATTTGTGGTATTGGGCTGCCCCATCTACTTGAGCTAAATACACACCCATGGCGGTCGCTTACGCAAATCAAACGGCAACAGTCCTGGCTTTACTGCTGCATCTGGCCAAAGCCAGCCGGAAAAGCACCTGATCACCAGGAGCAATTGGCCTTCAACATTTACGCTTCATACCAGGCCACACTTACTTTCTCTTTGGGAGGATGTACTGACCACGGCGCATGTTCACTGCTTCCAGGCCAACATGGATCAGTGACACAGCTTGAAGTGTCAGCCCTGCTCGGTAGGCGAGGTTGAATCCTGCAGCACTTCAAATGACTTGCACATGGCAATCCGCAACATCCACATGAGGTCGGCAGGCCTTGGAAAGCAAGTGCGGAGATGGAGAACATGGCCACCAAGCAAGATACGACCACACCCTTTGACTTGCCAAAGGCATTTCCCAAAGAGAAGCCTCGGCAATTTCATGTGGTGCTGGGTTGGGGATCATGCTGTTCCAGAGTAGAAGTGAAGCGGGAGACCAACTTCTGAGGCATGGCAAGTTGCTTGACAAGTGAACACAGCAACCGCCAAGGCCGTAGAAGATGTAAGCAACAGGCCAAGCCCAGTCGCTTTCGATATCTGCAAGGCCCAAGCACAAGCTTCCTGCAATGATTAGCAGCAAACCTGTGAGGATGCCCTTCCGCGGGCCGACAGTATCCACGAGGAATCCGCAGGCCACGCCACCGGAAACATTCACCATTGCACCTATGCTGAAAACCAGGTTGAAGGCCAGCGTGCGCTCGGGGCAGGTCTCTGCATAATTCTCGCAACGATGTCTGTACACGTTCTCGTTGCGAAGAAGGGAGAGGAGCGATGGCCAGCCGTAGACGATACCAGTGCCTTGGCAAAGTGTTCAACTGGCTGTTTTGGTCAGATGTCAGGCCCCAGGACCGTGACACCTCATATCCGAGGGTAACATGCGGCGCATTGCGGCGTTTAGGTGTTTTGAGGGGTTCCAGACGCAGGGCCCTTCTAAGCCTAAGCACGAGGTAAACAAAGCCGGGCAAGCAAATGCCACAAAGTTGCCGCCACAAGCAACTGTGCTTCTACAAGCTTTGAAGCTGAGATGCTTGTCACAACAACTGAGTACCCGGCTCAGAAAACTTTGATAGAGAGTAAATGCCAAGAGCACGAAGGCAGCTGGTCCGGCTGATGTGAGGCCGCGCGACATTTCACCCAGTTTTTTGCAATTTGTCTGTGGTTACAGCATGCTTTTTATCTTTTCATATAGCTGCGATAATAAGGTTTTTAATGCACACTATTGCGCCGTTCAAACACTACGTAGAAGATTGGCTTTGATCAGGCTTCCAGCAGCTTGGCCACGCAGGTAAGTTCCCAATCAGCCAGGTGTGGCATCGTGGAGCCTACCAGCTACCAAAACAAGCAAGCACCTTAACTGGCCGCACAGAATCCCCAAACTGCCCAACTTTTCAAAAATTGCAGACTTGTCATGCTCCGGCGAATGAACATCGATCACCCAAAATCCTTGAACTCTTGTGCCAGTGGCGAACCCCCGTTTTGCAGAACTCCTTCTTGAAGCGACACTCGCGAAGTGTGAAACTCTGGCAAGGAAAGATTGGCAATCTATGCTGGGCAAACATTTGATCTTCAACCCCCATACACTCGTGCCAACTCTCCTTCGTCTGTTCGACGATGGTCGCTCAGTGCTACTCCGCATGGCGCCTGTCGGATTGGCCGTGATCAGCAAGCACACTTTCGGTCACAAGTCCGCCATGATTGCCCCATCTCTCTTCCTTCCCCTTCCACCTTCGCCTGGGACCTTGCTGGGCAATCCTTGGATGCAGGTATCTGATGTTCATGAGCGACTTGTCCAAGCAGGAAGCATGTGGGGCGCAGTTGTAGCAGGCAACCATGCAGCGAGTAAAAACGAGTAGCTCTTTTTGGCAAGGCTCAAGCTTGCCACCAGGCCACGAGCATAGCCTTGGCAGGATGTTGAGTTCTGTGCATCCATCCTTTCTAAGCGTGCAAGAGGCCTCTGTGCAGGATGGTCTAGATGACAAGTATACCCAAAAGCGATGAGCTGATGCATTCCTGCAAGTTGTTATCTCACCTTAACCTTTTCCTTGAAGCCGTTTGTATGTGCACGCATGTTGCACATATTCGGAGTGAGCGCGCCGCTGCAGCAAGGACGGTGACGGCTGTGGCCAACCTTGGTTTCCCAAGCTGAACCATGTCTGCTACCCGGGGTTGGCTGGCTGACTTTCGGCACCTTGTACTTGCAAGCTATGCATAGGTTCTTAGTTGTACGAGTAGCCACACTTCCAGCCACATGGTGCATTGATTGCCGCACCATACTACAATTACAATCCTCAGGAACCAAACATATCATTGCTGCACAAGGTGCTGTTTGCAGCGCACAGGCTGCTTGAAAGTTGGCTCGCTCACCTGATTTTACACAGGTATGTATAGTATAGCTACCTGACTTCAAGACAACTGTTCGTCTTGCCTTCCCCTCTTGCCGCTGCTACGTGGCAAGAAAACCCTTCAGGACAATCTTGTGTGAAGAAGGACCTCGGAGCCTGGAAAGAAGTCGCCCGAGCATAAGACATCGCCAAACATAGCTGCCTTCTCAGCATCTTCTCGCTGCACAGCGGCCTGCGCGCGTTCCGCAGCCTTGGGAATGGAACTTCATCCCTTATAAATTGGTACTTTCATTTGTTCATGGGGATGAGGAATAGCTATGCTTGACCGTACGCAAGGTTCTTGCGCACACTGCTCGGCTTTCTTTCTGCCGTCTTGCGGGCATTGATGAGCTTTCACCCACAAAGCAAACGCCCTTACGTGTATGATCAAGGGTGAGCGCTTGGGAGTTCAGCAGTTGGGAATGTTGAGGGCTGGGAAGAGCAACGCTGGAACCTGTTCGATCATGGAGTCTGAGATTCAACTTTACTTACACCAGTTGCTTCGTCTTACTCTTTTCTCAACTCATGCTCCGGAGCAAGCTAAGCATAAACACGTTGACATCAAGCCACTTCCGCAACAAGGTCATTGCCAGAAAAGGGTCTTTCGCGCTCATGACTGGTTCGCCACATCATGTACGTTTAGGGGGCGGTTGGCGCTGAATCTTTTTGTAACGGCGAGTGTAGGAACCAGCCTGTTGCTGCACAGTCACGGTCTCCTCGGCCGAGCCTCGGAAAACAGACTTCCGTGTTGACCGGTCACTTGGAGCCTGCCGCCCTGACTTTGCATATTCTCACTAGCCATGTTCTTCTAAAGCATTGAAAATGCTTCACAAACACATCTTTCCCCAACAGGTCTCCTAGAAATTCATTGCAATGATATGGACATGGTTGGTGGATGTTGGTGGTAACCTGGTAACGAGCATGGAGCTCTCTGAGAGAAGCTGGGCGTCCAGTCATGTGCCGAGGTCTGCACTTTCACCGCAGCTGGAGCATTCCACCTGGGCTGAGCTGAACGAAGACGTGCAGCTACATCCCACATGCGTTTTGTAAACAAGCCGACGCCTGTTCCTCCGTTTGTCTTTCAGGCGCCTTGTCGTCCTGCAGAAGCACTAACGCCTGCCTGTGGTAGTAGCATGCTTGGCCTGATTATCCTGTTATCCAAAGCATGCGTTAGGCCCTTGGCGGCTCATGGACGCATCAGGCACCTGTGCCACCTCACGATCGTTCTCGCCCTTTAAGCGTGGCTTGACCTTGGCAAGCTCTGCATGAAAGTCTGGACTGCTTCCAGGTGGCAGTCCGGCTTTTCCGTGCTTCCTTGGGCGCTGGCCGACCCGGCCATGATCTCGATCTCTGGTCCGCCACACCTGCAACGCACAGTTGAGTCTCACGCTTCACAACCGAACCCGCCATTGCTCTAGGGCCCTAGTATGGCTCAGAAATTTGAGTGCTCAAGTCAAATCTGCAACCAGGCGATGTGCGCTTGGCTTCGGACACAATACCCCAGGGACCGCAGCAGCCATTCGCACAAACCTCATGCTTTGCTGTTGTGCTGCCGCAGCCGGCAGCACATTTATGAGTTCCGCCAGGTCTTTTGAATCAAAACGAGCTGATCCACAAAGGGCCTATCGCACTTCCATTCTAACGCCCTGACCCATGTCGGCGAGCGCTTTCGCTCTGCCTCCCGCAGCAGTTTTCGCACTTCGGGATCATTTGGCCTGGGTCCGAACATCCCAACCACAGTCAAAGTGGGTCTCTGTGCAGGTTTCTCGGTGTCGGTAGCCGTAAGAATTACGGACAATTTCGCAGACAAGCTCCTAGGTGCATAATTTTTGCACTTTCCGGTAGCAATTGTGTTTTCGTTTTTGCTGGCCATCCTGGTTTTTTGCTCCGTCTGCTGATGGGTTGCACATCTGAGAATTTGTTGAAAGAGCTGACCTCAATGGCCGTGTGTAAGCTAGAGGGCAGAATGGCAGACCCACGAACTATCAGGCAAAAAGCACTGTCTTGTGTTGTATTTTATAGCGAGTAGTGAGGCCCCCCGGCACATGTGAAAGTCGGTTGGCAATTCTCGCGGGCTCGTGTTCCCAAGAAAGCGCAGCTGAGATCCTGCACGGGTGGTTTCTTCTGAGGAAAATCTGGGCACCACGCATGGCTTTGTGTGCCTCCGCAAGGCGATCCGACGCCGGGCCTGGCCTGCCTATCAAAAACAAATCAGGTCCTGGTGTTCATGGGCAGCTACTCAGCATGCACAAAGGCTCCTGACTGCGGACTGATGCTCAATGAGGTCAATTTCATCTCACTTTTGACAACAATCCAGATCTGACTAGCCCTGTGAGCCACCTGGTATGAGGCTCCACCAAGCCAAACCGGAGAACACTTTAGCGTTAATTTCAACTTCCCGAAAAAGTCAACAACCTCCATAAACTAATTCTGGGAGTTGCCTGAGCGTAGCAGCGCTGCGCCTAAACGCATGAGAGCCTCTGCAGGGTGGTTGCCAAGCTAGGAAAGGAAACGTGCTTGTCTAGACCAGGGCTGCGCTTCTTGAACAGCAGGATGACATGCATGGCGTCTCGACCAGTTGCGCCTTAGGTGCCTTCCCATCCATGGAGAGGGCTGCATCTGCCCATTCAATGGCCTGTAAGCACTGCTCATTCTGGGCTGCCTCTGGCCACATTCAAAAACTGTCTTCCTTCTGGCCTCCTTGAAGGCACTACGCTTCAGGCACACGGCTGCAAGGTTCTGAGCCTAACAAGGACTCAAATACTTGCTGACAAATCCGCAAAAAAACCAGTGTAAGTTCAACGAAGCCCTTGCAGACTCCTGCATATGTATCGCCTGCGTGCCAAGATGTGTCGCATCTGATCAAATGACAAATTGCCTCCTGTGGCTGCCTGGGCCAGGTGAATGTCTCAGCTCCAAGCAATAGCGAAACGAAGGTCAAACAACTCGTCGCCTCAGTCGGATTTGGCTGAAGCTAACCTGTGGAGGACCCAGCCATAACTTTGGAAAACTGCAGTTTGGACTCCTCTTCTCTTTGTTTTGCGGCTGACTCCTATCTCGGGGTCCAGCTCACTGGCCGCAGTTCTTGGGCCTGAGTGGCGAAATTTGCTGCACTCCGTAGTTCTTGCTGCAAGTAAAACAAACTACTTCCCAGCCGGCGAGTCACAGATCAAGATCTGTCCTCGCACTTTCTGCGGAATTTGCCTGCAAACATCTGAGCGCTGGGCTGAGAAGCCTGGGCTTAGAAGAGGGATTCAAGATGCATTTCTCTCCATAATAGCTGGTTAGCCTGCAATGCGGGAGACGCAGCCGCACTCCACCAGGACCGCTACTTGAGTTCTGCAAGTTCACCTACTCCCTGTTTTGCTACTGTGGAAAGCTGTTCGTAAACCGCCGGCGCAATTGCCTTCAGCTTTTTGCATGTTTTAACGAAGCTGGATGCCACAAGACGGTAAAGTGAGTTGAAGAAAATGATGCCCACTTATATCACAGATTGCACTAGTATACGTTACATACAATACGCTGGTCTTGCATTCATGTCATGTCATCCACCGTTGCCAAGGCACGCTTCAGCTCGCCTCCTGGCTCTCCCGCCTTGAGAACAATATGGGCTGTTGCAAGAGAACTGCTGAAGACAGCAATCTTGCAAGAAGATGAAGCCATCAACTCCATGTGCTAACTAAGCGAAAAATGACTTTGAATGGGACACAAGGTTTGCCGGCGAGGCTAATTTTGTCCAAAAAGCAAC